TAAACTCCCTAAACTCCCCAAACTCCCTGAAACCCTAAACCATACACCCTAAACCCTAAACCCTAAACCACAAGCCCGCCTGGTACAACCTCCCCAGGAGCTGAATTAAGCCTTCTCTGTGCCGTTTCCGGGTCAACAGAGCGGACTCTGCCTCAATAAGTTGGTCGACCAAGATATGGATGTCCTTCGACGAGCTGACCTGGGAGCTTAGAGGGGCCTGGGGAATTGAGGGCTCTGGACTTCGGGAGTGTAGGGGGTATTGTTTAGATCTCTACATTATCCTCTAGGTTCCCCGGTAACCCATTAATAATGAGGGAAGCCCTTTTCCTACTATTCAGCTTTAATAAGGAGGCCCCAAAATAAAAAGGGGAAAGGGTACTACTGGGGCCCTAAACCCTAAACCCTCCTAAACCCTAAAACCCTAAACCCTAAAATCCCTAAACCCTGAACCCTAAACCCTAAACCGTAGTCCTCGGGGTTCCTATTAATAACTCAAGACATCACGGGGCCTCGGTCTTTGCCGGGAGGTTCTTGTGCTGGACGGTGACCTGCATTGTGAGCACTCATCACTTCTATTCTAGAGACTTTAGGAGGGACCCTTACTAGGGACCCATAATCCCATTACCATATATAACGCTTATATAGTCATTATATAACCCCTATATCCCCAGGTAGTCCCCATATTTACCCCCATAAGCTACAAGGGTCCCTATTAGGGGTCCCTCCAAAAGTCCTTAGATCTATCCTGCATCCTCTCCAGGCAGACCTAAACACTAAAAGCCTGGGAGGGAAAGAAGGTTTGGGGTTTAGGGTTTAGGGCCCATAATAAGGATTGTAGCGTTTTGGGGGTCTTTACTGGGGGTCCTGCATGTAAGGAAACTATCACATACTACTTCAAATCCTAAAGCCCAAACCCTAAACCCTAACTCTAAACCCTAAACCCCAACCCCTAAACCCCAAACCCTAAACCCCAAAACCCGAAACCTTAAACTCTAACATTGGAACTTGCTGCTGAGCGGTGACCTGGTCATCAGCCTCCACTTCAAGGCCAACTCCCGGCGGATCGTAGCGTAGCAGAAACCTCTTCAGCCTGGGTTAAGGGTTTAAGGGTTAAGGGTTTAGGGTTTAGGGGTTAAGGTTTGGGGTCTAGGGTTCAGGGATTAGGGCTTAGGGTTTAAGATTTTTTTCGGCGGGTTTTAGATTTAGGGTTTAGGGTTTAAGGTTTGGGGTTTAGGGTTCAAGGCTTGGGGTTTAGGGTTTAAGATTTAGAGTTTAGGGTTTAATGTTTGGGGTCTGGGGTTTGGAGTTTAGGGCTTAGGGTTTAGGGCCTAGGGCTCCTTATCAGCAACCCAGCAACTTCATGGCGCCCGCAGTCCTTGGGTTCACATCGCCCTTGAGCCAAGCAGGGCTTGCGAGCACAGCCGAGTAGCGCTTCTTGTGGTGATTGAACCAAGTAAGATTATATTCTGTACCTAAATTCCGAAGGTATTGTAGAATAATAGCCTTAAACCCCTAATAATAGCCATAAAGGCCGTTTTTTTACATACTTTTGGGGTGCAGGTATACATAAAAAATTATACTATAACCAAAGGATACAATCTTACTTCATATCTGGAAGCATGGTGTCCCAAATAAAAATGCTACTCAGCCACCACTCAGCTGGTAAGTTGGTATTAATAGTGGGCACGGTGGTGGGCTACAGCTGAACTACGGTGGGCGGAGGAAATCTCACGCGACGTACAATCCCCAAGAAAAACTGCAAATCCCAGGGAATAAGGTATACTATGATGTCTATCCACAGTACATAGGCTGACCATAGCAGTGGAGCATTGCATGGCTCTGGGGCGCGCACCACCTTGTCGAAAATCCGCGAGTAAAACATGTACATCCTGCCATGATTGGCCGCGGCTTGGCTATGTGGCTCTTGATCATGGCAGACTACCACCTTACAGGCCAAATCTTCCACAGTGCTTTAAAAAGTCCACGAAACAGGAACATACGCAAGGACCCTACATTCCGACTTCTGCACCACGCCTCAGAACAGCAAGCACTCCAGGTCATGACGGCGGCTAAGTGAGCGCCCTGTAAAGGATGGAGAACAGAAGCATAAGAATTCAAGTCACGGAAAAGGCGGTGGTCTGCCTACTCAACCAAGTAGCCTCAAAAAGAATACATCACGAATCCACCACGCACGTATACTTGTTCAGGTTAGAGACCTTCCACACCCCTACGGTGATCGTCAGACACTGCCAGATGGGTAATGGTTTAAAATGTTGTACACTAAAAGAAAATGTTAGCTTACTATCCCCAAACCTCAGCCCTAAGCCTCCACAACAGAGCGCTGTACGCCCTAAACCCCAAAGCCCGAAAATCCTACAACTCAAACCTAATCCTTAGAACCTCGACCAACAAAAACTCCAAACGAGACGGAGGGACAGCAACAGGCCCCCCGGCTCCGGTTGAGTCTTCGAAGCAAAGCTCTCCAGATTGTAGCCCTGCCAGGGTTTAGGGCCTGGGTTGGGGTTTAGGGTTTGGGGCTTGGGGTTTAGGGTTCAGGGTTCGGGGTTTAAGGTTCGGAATGCTTTTTGCTGCGCATGTTCCACAGAAGCACAACCAATAAGGCCGCTTGCAACCCTGCTGTCCCAAGCTGGCCCCGGTTTTTTTAAACCCCTCGGACTTTTACGTCTGCACTCTGTGCAAGGGGAAAATCAGGTAATCTGGCCCCGGGTTTGGGTTTAGGGGTTCAGGGTCTGGGGATTTGATGCTAGAAATTCTGCGTAACCTTGCTGCAATGAGGGTGATATAAGCACTTCCCAAATTATTGGGCAAGGCCAAGCAGCGGCAGTGGCATGTCTCTGTCGGACCCCCTCTTTTGCAGAGGGTGGAATGCCTAAGAAGTGGCCAAGGGACTACGCGCGAGCCCCGCCCGCAAAGGGAGAGAACGAGCCCAAAAGCCTCGTACTTGGAGGCCCATGGGACTTAGTAACTACTTATGACTGGGATTATAACCCTCCGTACAATTGGGCTAACCCCTATAAGCCCATTTAGGGGGATTGTAAGTAGGGTTATAAGCCCAGTTATAAACAGTTACTAAGTCCCATGAGCCTCCAAGTAGAGGCGGGAGCGCTTGACTTACCCAAGCGAAGGCAGAGGCAGGCAGTGGGAACCCAAGGCGCGGGGCAGGCTGCAGGGGCAGAAGGTTTCAGCACCTATCTGCCCGACCAAACCGTGCAGCCATCGCATAACCTGTGTCGTACGTAATGGATGTTCTGCGCATCCTGTTTTCAACGAAGCTCTTTCCAGTGCGGGTAGGCAGGGGCTTCCATTCACCAACGACCCTTCTGGCCTCGCGGGATGAAACAAAACAAACAAGCGAGGACCCAAACTCCACAAGACTCTACGCTCACGCTGCTTACAAAATATGAGAACCCAAGAATCTCACTCAACAGTGCTCCTTTGCACAGCGGTTTGAAGCTAGGAGCCTGTTTTGGGAAGCCCTTGTCCAAGGAGTCCTGCTTGACGCATACTGCAAGAATAGCCAAGCTCTTTGTCTCTAGCAGCGCAGACTGGACTTAGACTCCTGAACCACCTGCAGCGGAGCTACTAGCAACATGGAGCAAGCACGGGCAGACAAGCTCTAAATTGCCCCTTGTTGTCATGAATGTTATCCACGTGAAGGTACACAAGCTACCCTATAATCCCGATATAACCCATTATAATGGTCTCCATCTTCTTTTCAATTATCCCTATAGAACCCTATATCCCCCAACCCCCCTCCCCATCCCTGCTCTCAGCCTGCAGGTCGAAAAACGTCCTCACCTCCAGCTGGCCCTGACAACGCGCAGCCTGGCAGGAAGATGGCAGGGAAGGACAAGACCATGAACTCTATTCAGGCCCTTAGGGGCTCTGAGGGGTAGCGCGAAGCCGAAACATTGACTCTTTGCGGCTCATCTGGGACAGTTTGGTGACATGCTGTGAGAAGCCCAGCGCTCAATCCTCACACGCACGCAGACCCATGACACAAGCAGAGGCAGGCACATTTTTAGGTGCACATGGAACTGCTCTCAAACCTGACATCAGCAAAAACAGAAACCCATCAACCTTCCTTGAGCCATTTGAACAGCAAAAGGCTTCCTCAAGCGCTGGTAGTGAGATGCTGACAACCTGTCGCTAAAAGGATAACATGCCTGTTATCACTGGTCTTCTACGATCCAGATGCCCCCTGACCCTGCTCCTAAGCCCCTACATCCTAAAGCAGGTTCTTTACCCTCATAGGGTGCTTCTCAAAATCGGGGGTACCGCGGGGGCACATGTTAGAAGTTTTTACCCAGGGAGACCTAGGGATTATCTTGGCAAAGCTCCATGGAAGTCTCCTTCTATTCTAGAAGCCTATGCCTGTCCCTTACTGGCAACAGCATACCAATGGCGGCCTCAACGGAGATTCGTCTCACCTGGCACTTCGGCAGCCACACTAGGTAGTGGGAAGAATACAAAAAATTGGAAGTCTCATACTGCACTATGACTAACACTTGTAGACAGTAATTAAAAGAAATGGTGGTTGAGAAGAAAAACAAACCATCAACGATTGAAAAAAAAACTAACTACAAAAACGACACTCGGGTCACGGAAAACACATTCAGAACGGCTCGTCTTAGCGGTCAAGTGGAATGTTGACATGACTTCACTGATCCAGCCCGCAGTGATTTTGAAAGATTCTAAGATCTATCTGGATTTCCTGATGCGCTTTCACGGGTTGAATTGAGCTTGTGCCTGTCAGTTAATGGATCCAACTTCAGGCACATACGCTTCCAAAAGAATTACCGGTGACAGTCTTCTGGGGAGCTCCCTCATTTTGGACCATAGAAGCTCAGACTGACTACGTAAGAACTCAGGGTTTTGCTGCCCAGGCTCCTACGAGGGTTTGTGACCCTGTTACTGCCAGTTGCAAAAAGCAACATGGAGCTAGAAAGGGGGCCCAAACCAGAAAGGCTTGCAGCAACCTGAGTAAATCCAGAACAAAAGTACGCCCCCCAGCACTGGCGCCCCTGAATCACCCAATCCTGAATATTATTTTTGTATGTCTCCGAAATATGTTGGGGACCTGCGTGATATGATGCAATTTCTATGCACGTTGTGGGACCCGCCGGATAGGTCCTTGTGATTCAGGCAGTGCCTTTGGGGCCAGATCCCCACACCACAGGGTTCTTGCGGAAATGCGCCCTTTTGCACATCTTGGCCTCGCTACATAATTACCCTGCCAAAATGAAGTCCTCTTCGGAAAGTTCCAAGAGACTCCCCTGAAAAAACTGGCAAGGTGCCTCTTCCGAAAATTCTCGCAGAGGCGCAGTCCAGCCCTTCAGGTACGAAGTGAGTGCGAACTATTAATTCTGCTTTCTGAGGGCTCGCAACAGCTGTGGCTCAGAAGTTGAAATGCGGTCCATGATGCAGAGTCCCTACGGCACATGGGGATTTCCCGAAATTAGGCCCTTATAATTAGAACTGTATCATAGCACTTGGGGGTCTATGTTGGGATCCAGTTTTGGGAAACCATAATATCAAGCCTCTCAGGACACCCGAACCGTGCATTCTTAAAGTTAAAGCCACCATTGGGGACCACTGTACCACCTCCCCTTGCATTAGCCATCCACTGGAAGGTTTGGCTTCATCATATGCAGCTGCGAGGCAAATCCTAGACTCCGGAACCACATTCCACCATCATCACCATCACCATCATCATCAACACCATCATCATCATCACCACCATGCCCATCATCCCCTCATCATCAACCTCATCCTCCTCTGCTGCTGCAAGCATCCTGCAACTCACAACATCTCCCAACTCTCAACCTCCCACCCAAAACCACACAGAAAACCAATTCCACGCCAAGCTATCCTATGGAAGAATAGCCCTGAATGGATAAGCCCTTAAAACCACAGATCCCAAAACCGCTAGGGACCCTGAAATGAGCATGCCGGTGATAAACAGCTTCTGCCCAGAAAGCCTGCTATGTATCTGAGACCTTCCCTACAATCCCCGGTCCTCCCCTGAAACCAAAAGACACACGGAATTAACACTCACCTAAGGAATCTGCATGTCTATTAAATATACTCACCAAAGCCTACATTTAACAACCTACTTCTAATCTTCTGGATTGCTGTTAGGCAACTTAAGTGAAGTTACCATAATGGGTATAGATAATAATTGCTATGGTCTCCCCAATATAGTAGCTTGGATGAAGCTCCTGAACAACAACCCAGTCTTAAGCTGGCCTCTGGGGGGGCAGCTGGCCGTGTGGCAGTGTTCCCCTAGCGCTGCAAACTCAACTGGCACCCCCTCTACTTGGAGGTGATGGGGACTTAGGAACTAGGTTAATAATGGAAAAGAAAATGGAAATTACTATAGTATCTAGGGTTTAGGGTTTGGGGTCATGGGGACTTAGTAAGTAGATTAATAATGGGGATAATTAGGGTTCTTATGTGGCTTTTCGCGGTTGTTAACCTACCTACTAAGTTCCCATGACCCTCCAAGTAGGAGGAATTGCAGCCAGCGGGTTAGCCTCACACGAAGAAATGGGGTGACCGAAACACGCTGCACCTTTTGTCCTGCCAAACCGCAAATTCATTTCATGATTCAGGACAACAGGCTGAATTTCAAGGCAGAAGGCCTTCAGATTGGGGCTCTGTTGACTTCAAGTCTGGCTTTCAACTTGCACGTGTGTAGCACACATGCTGACAGCCACGAATTGGCTGGCCCTGTTGGCTAAGCTTGCCAAATGGGGGTTTCCCAAAATTAGGAGTCCCCTTGAAGGGCTTTACAGGGGTTATGTAGGGGTATATAGGAATATAGAGGGTTTAGGATCTCCCAAAATTAGGGGTACCTTTTTGCGGGGGGCCCTTAAACTAACGTTTTCCGGGAACGTTTGTTTTCAGGCCGGAAACTAACGTTTTC